ACTACCACCACCACTACTACTACTCCCATACTACTACTGCCGCTACTGCTGCTGTTGCTACTACTACCACCAACAGCAACAACAATAATAATGGCCACAACAATCACACTGGCCGTTTCTGAGCACACACTCTGCTCCAGATTAGCAAAAATGTTCTCTTGACTTCTCACATCAATCTTGTCAGGTAGGTGGTGTTATCCCCATGTTACATCCTAGGAAACAGAGATTCAAAGAAGTTCAGTGATTTGCCCAAGTTTATGCATCTCGTAAGCGGGAGAATTGGAATTTGACTCTGGTTTGGCTGATTCCAGAGCCTGTGCCCTTTGCACTTCTCTGCAGAAGCAGCTGAGACACTGAAGCACACCAGGAAAAGGGAGGACAAAATACAGGGAATAAAGGAATGGTACTACCTTTTCTGAGCATTTGCCATAAAGACCGTTGGAGGTGAAAGTGGCAGAAAGGAACCCAAATGAGGGGAGCTGACAGCAGACCCAGTGGGAGGAAGCCAGCATGGCATCATTGTAGGGAGGAGAAACAAGGATTTCTGCCTGGAAACTTTGCCCAGGGGCTTTGCGGTGGGCAGCCTTTACTTAGCAGCAAAAATATCCAAAGCAACATAGGGGATTAGGAAAAAGGAAGTCAGGCTGAGGCTAATTTCATGAAGGGAGCCAAGCCTTGCTTCACTTACTTAGCTTTCATCACTTGGCACTTCTGGTACCCACTATGTGCTGCGTTCTGGGCAAGGCGCTGATTATAGATGGACAAATTGGAGTCTCTTGTCTTTAGGAAACCTAAAGGCCTGCTGGGAAATACATTTAAGTCTTTGGCGTTTGGGACTTTACTATTATAGTTTCAACTACTCTTTGGCAAGGGGGGGGGGCGGGTAAGGTCTGGATTAGTGGTACTCAAATGCACATTGCAATCACCTGGAGAGCTCTTAAATGCCTGGGTTTCACAGCCAGAGATTCTGACTTAATTAATCTAGGGTGCTTCCTGGCCATTGGGATGTTTCAAAACTCCCTGGGTGGGCCTTCTGAGAGAAGTGGTTTGTTCCAGGACTGGGCAGAGAAAATACAAGTCTAGAGCATTTGTGGTAAGAAAGTGCTCCAAAAAGGATGGAGGCCTAAATGAAATGAGTATCGTTAATTAAATCCTGGATTGGAAAAGAACATTAGTGGAAAACCAGGCAAAATTCAAATAAGTGTGTTTAGTTAGTAGTAATGCACCAATGTTGGTTTCTTAGTTTTGACAAATATATCATGGCTATGTAAGATGATAGTATTGGGGGAAGCTGGGTGAAGAATATATAGAAACTCTGTGTACTGTTTGCAGTTTTTTCTGTAAATCTAAAATAATTCCAAAAATAAAAATTCTATTAATAAAAATAACATGAAAAAAGAGAGTGAGGAGTGGGAGTAAGTCAAAAGGACGCAGGAGCCAATCTCAAAGAGCTCCCAATGGCCAAAGCTGGAATTATTTGAGTAACAAAGTAAGTAACAATAGAATAAAATAAATATTCATGAGTCCATACTAATATAAGTAGTTGAACAAAGGAATAAATGAATAAATAGAGGAGAAGGAACAGCTCTTCCTTACAGAATTCTCATTAATAAATGGAAAAATCACCGTTAACTAGAACATCCCAGCAGTAATTGTTGCAAATACTAGCCATTAGTAAGCGCTAAAATTAATGGATGAAAGTTTGAGGAGAAGCAGAATATTCATAGTGTCACAGTATCTCCCCTAAGTTATTTATTAATTACAAAGGGGGGAAATGGTACTTTTTACATTAGAGATGCCTAACACCACCAGGAATAAGACATACTAACATCATGTACTCCCTGTGAATACATGCCAAAAAGTATTACCTCAGTCAAATTATGGGAAAACATCAGAAAAACCCAAACTGAGGAATATTCTACAAAACAACTGAGTAGTACTCTTTAAAAAAGGGAATGTCATAAAGATAAAGACCAAGAACAGACTGGAGGAGACTAACTAGATATGTGGTAACTAAATGTGGGATCCTGGATCGGTTCCTGGGAAAAAAGAAAGGACGTTAGGGGAAAAACTGGTGGCATTTAAATAAAACCTGAAGCTTAATCAATGATATTGTATCAATGTTAATATCTTGATTTTCATAATGGTACTATGCTTATGTACATATGGATGGCTGAAGTAGAAGGGTATATGAAGTAGAGGGTATATGGGAGCTCTCTGTACTATATTTTGCAACTCTTCTCTAAGTCTGAAATTATTTAAAACAAAACTTAACCAAACAAAATCAAACCATCTCCCTCATGATTCTAATGGGGCAGCCATGGTTGAGAATAGCCTCTAGACCCATGTTTCTCAAACTTTAATGTGCGTATGAATTACCTGGGGATCTTGTTAAAATGCAGATTCCGGTTCAATAAAATGTAGGTTGTAGCCTGAAGTCTGCATTTCTAATAAGCTTCTGGGTAATGTGATGCTGCTGATCCAAAGACCATACTTTAAGACTATGAATTAATCTGTCACTTTCCTGAGGCATGAATTTGTTTGCGTACCTTTTAAAGCTGGGTTGTAGGCACCAGTTTCTGCAGCAGCGAGTGATGCCAACAGCCTGCTCAGCAGCCATGTCCTCGCTCAGCCTTGGCCTTTTCTTCTTCTGCTCATATACAGAGTAATTTTCTTACAATAATTGACTGTATTTGAGGGAGGAATTTTAGGGCATAGTGTCGTTTATAGAGCCAATATCCTCTGTAGTGTAAGCCCCATGTCATAAGCAGAAAAATGGTCCTCCAAAGATGTACATGCTCTAATCCCTGGAACCTGCGGTAGGTTACCCTCCATGGAATAAGGAATTTTAAAGATGTGATTAATATTATG